AATGCTTTCGCGCGCTTTTGCTCAGATCCAGCTTTGCTTAGCTTCTATTTATTTTTAATTAGTAAAAGTACTCTTAATTCTGCAAAATGGAGTTGAGTGGTTTCTTTCTTGGTTATTAAGTGAAGCAGTCCACATTTGCATGATCATGTATCCTTTTGACTCTTGTTTGTACTGTGTCCTCCAGAGAATAAATCCCAATGCTGTATTCAAGCAATCAATCCCTTTCCTATAAGTACTGATTGAAATAGCAATAGCAACAGCATTTAGACTTAAAGTACATTTCATAGTACTTTACAACTCATTATATGCTGCCTAAGTCATTTACAGAGTCAGCATATTGCCCCCAACAATCTGGGTCCTCATTTTACTGACCTCAGAACAATGTCAACCATTAACCAGTCAGGATTGAAGAAATTGAACTCCTGGCAATATGAGCAGAGTTAGCTTTCAATACTGCATTATAACCACTGTGCCACCACAGCTCTTATATTTAATTCCCAGAAAGCAAGCATGTAAGTTCTATGTTTATTTGTGCATAATTCTTATTTGCAGCAGAGAAGGACTGTGATGCAGAGGTTATTAGGTACTCACTGCTGTCCTTCATAATGTGTTATGCCGTTTGTGGTGAATCAGGTTGCATGCGAGAGATTGTTAAAAGAAAATAAAGAAAGCTCTTTAATGCCATCTAGTGGTTAGATTTTTGAAGCCCAGTTTTGATCTGGACCTGAAAGTATGGTAGTACTTTCTGAAACAAAATAGCATAGACTACAGTGCAAAACAAAGAGATCAAGAAAAATATTAACATTTCCTGAAAATTAAATATTTAAATAATCTGGAATGAAGATTTAAACTGATCACTCATCTACAGTGAACATAGTCTATGTTCATGTTCTGCCCATGAACAACAGTGTTCAAATTATGAACATTGATTTAAAGAGCATTTGAAAGTATGGCAGTCCTGAATGAAGAGACTTAGGACTTGTACCCGAAGTTATAGCCTCTGCGGCCTTTGTGGCCATGTGAAAAAACCTGAATGCTTGGTAATCCACTTGTCCTTACATCCAAACGGAGGGATGTTGCTCTTACCTGCCTTTCTGTGCTCTCACCCCATCCTGTGTGTCCCTTGGGCCAACTCCACCCCAGCCATGCACCCACAAGCTTTGGCTTGCTTCCTACTCTACTGGGCTTCACCTACTTCATCATGCCTCGCTTCACTTACACTTCCAAAGATCAGCTTTCCCAAGGGAAAGCAACCAATCTTCTATCAGAGTTTGTTGCAGAAAAATCATATCCAGAAAGCACACACAGATAACTGATTCAGCTGGATTCATTAACTTCTTTATATACATAATACCAATAGTAGATTCTTTTAACGTGGTAGAAGTTACAAGCAGAATGCAAGCAGGAGAGAACTGTTAGTTTCAGAGTTCAGAGCAGACAAACAAGTTTAGACTAGTTTACTTCTCAGAGCAGCAGACTCAGACCTTAGAGCTTACAGACTAGTTTCAGTTTTTATTCTCAGCTAAGTCACGCCCAGACTCCAAGTTTAAGCTTCTGTTTCCAAAACAGCCCTCATTGGCTGCACCAGTTGCTATGCCTATTGATTGGCTGTTTGATTCCTGTCTATAACTATTCGTACTCTGACATCTTCCTATACAGAAGCCATGTGTAGTGCCATCCTGGAAGAGGATGCCATATTTGGGAAGTGGTTGCAATTCTCGGATTCACTATGGATCAGTTGCTTCTCCTTGTGATCTATGGAGGTGCTGCAGTTTAGGCCTGCACCAGGCTTCCAGGGCCTCCCCAATCTCAAGACATCAATGATCTGCATGGTTGCTTAATGACTGCAACAGGGGCAGCCAGGCTTGTGGTCAATAAACGAGATGATCACATGGCTCCCTTGCTT